GTGTTTGTTTTTTTGTAAACGATTTTATGTTTTGGTTAATTTGAGACGTTTTATTATTTTTTTAGCAAAAGGCAACAATTTTTATTGGGGTTAAACGTTATTGTAGACGGAAGGTTAATTTCACTAATGAAATGTAGTTGAGAGACTTTTTTTATTAAAAAAAATAGTTGAAGGGATATTTCATTAAAATATTTTAGACGGGAAAAAAAAGGAGTCAATGTTGAAGCTTTTTCCAGCTCAAAATTGTCATGAACTTATGAAGGACTTAATGTAATTTTGTTCTACTATTAAAGTAAACTCATCAAATGTTTATTTAGGATATTTTGATAATTTATATTTTTAGAAAGTGAGTTTTCAAACTTCTGAAAATATGGGTTAGGTTTCAAATTTTATAAAATTGTGGTATTTTTTTTCACAAATTTCCTCTAAAATTTAACATATATTTCTTACATTTTTATAAAACTTATCTTTACTAAATATAATCTGTAACCGACAATAAATATTTTGCTTTCCTTTTATTATATAAAATAAATGTATTATTAAAATACCGCAATTCGGAAACGATTTATAAAACTTAAAAAAGTTATTATGTATTTTAGTGTCTTTAGAATACCGCAGTGAATGCATAAACTGTTACAGATAACTCAGTCACTAATAATATAACAGTATTATTATTTCATTTACTTTGGAGCTAATGCTTTTACGGCCATCTTCAAACCGGCGGAACAATCAGGCTGATAGAATACCCCGATGTAATAGCTCATACCATAAGGAAGTCGGATTCTATCATTACCGGAATCGTACTCTTTCGCTCCATCGTTCGGTGTACACGTTTCATAACCGGTTCTGTTTACCACCCATAAATTGCTTTCCTGACCATCGTATTTGAATACTACAATGCAACACCAATATTATATCAGTATAAATATATTGTGTTCAAAAGATTTAGACTCTTAAGTAGAGTTAGGTCGATGGACCAAAATAAGTGAGCTATAAACCAATTGACTCTGATTAGGGTTGCACTGAATCACTCGATTGAACCAAACCGAGTTGATTTATCTATTCATCACTTACTCTTTAGTAACCGATTTAAATTACGCCACTAAACTATGAATAGATTGTTTATCAATCACATTACTATGATTTGTTTTAATATTGATACATACCGAGGATATCACCAGCGTAAAATGTTTTGCCTCTTGTCCAAGAGTCCATTGGAATAACCGGGTCCCAACCGTCCTTGCCTCCGAGATAGTAGGTGGCCGGGCGCCTCCAGGCATGGGTCATGTCGGTTGCTAGTAATAAGCACAAGACCGTCATGAATATAGCCATTGGAACCGTAGCAGCAACATAAGAAACGTGTCCAGATGATCGAGCCATTTGGATCAAAGGTTAAAAGGTTTTCGGTGAAATAGCCAAACACCTTTGTGTTTATATTTATATAGACTGTTATTAGATATATATAGTTACTGAAGAAGTGTAAATTATATATAGGGTTTCATATGGTAGTCCATATTATAATTTTGTAACGTACCTAAGTCAAATGATTTTGTCTTTTAAGGAATTTGTAGATTTAATATTTTTACTGAATTTGCAAATTCAAAAGTTTATATTTTTACTAAATTTGCAAATTCAAAAGTTTATGTTCAATTCTTTGTCAAAATGATGTGATAAATCCATCATTATTTAATCAATGGATTCGTAGTACAAATTATCGATTAAGAAACTTTGATTTGTTTTGGGTCAAAAGACAAGTATATATCATTAATTATTTGGAATTACGTATCAAAAGTCAAATACATGAACTAACAAAACTCTCTTTAATATTGTTGCTGTTCTATATTAAAGACATATTCTTCCATGAACTATATTGTTGCTGTTTATTTATATATGAAATATTGACACCGGCCTAAACACACATGAATTCCTTTTGTTTTTGAACTTACTACATAATCTTATAAAACTTGGTCAATTTACACAAAACTGTTAACGGAGTCAATTTTCCGTTCACGGGGTTAACTTTTTGTTAACGGAGTCCGATCTAATTATTTTTTTTTAAATGATCAGTATTAATAAAAAGAATTGGGAGAAAAACAAAATATTCCCCTTTGGCTTCTATATGCAATCTCTTCTTCTTCTTCAACGCTTTCAATGGCTTCCGTAAAAGTGGCATCAACACAGCTCTTCTTCCTTTCGACGAATCGATGCTCGGATTTCGACTCTCTCTCGCTACGCTCCTTGAAGTACCCACCAAATCCATGTCCAATTCCAAATCAACAACACCAACAATCTCCGTGAAAACTGGATCGAGCTTCGATTGGAGACAATTCGGGGAAGGACTAATCAAAGTTTCCGCATCCGATCCACCGACTCTGATCAGATCTTCGATAGCTGATCTCAACCGATTCAATACCCATAATGATTAGGTTTTCTCCATACTTTCGTCTAGAATCGCGAAATACACAAACGAATCACCGATTGCGAACGTGTATGTCTTCTTGCGTACTGTATGAGAGAACATTGAATCGTGTAGAGGCGTGTTCTCGATGGTGTGGAGGCGTGTTCTCGAGGAGAGAGCAAACCTTTTTAACATTTCCATCTATTGAAGTCGCACATCGTGCTCTGGATATAATCCTTAACACCACCTTCTTGTTCTGCATAAATGACTGAATACTATATATCATTGAGAAACATTTTGCCCCTGAAAGATGAAGACAAAAGTGTGACTCATATGTTCTTTTGTGATTTTTCAGAATCTTGTAAATGGTTTTGTGTTCAAAGGTAAACCAATGATAATATAGTTTAAGAGGGATTTTGTAGCAGCTAAGCCAAACGAGTGATGATATATACAACAATGTTGTTTTCTTTGTAAAATTAAATTTTTTAGAGGATTAGCTGTAATCTTTTTTTTTAAGATCATCAATKTAACTCTTGACTCTAATACAAATATCGCTGCCTTATGCCCCCATATGTAAAAATTATGTTCTTGTTCGCTCGTCGCTCTTACACTATAATCAAACA